TGGGTGTATACCGCCCCGTTCTTTCTCTTTCTCTTTTACACGTGTCCGCTAAATAAGAAATTACCCCGGTCTTTAAATTCGCCGGCTACTTTCGCGTTTAGGCGTGTCGCAAGTGCGTCGTAAAATGTATCGGCGCCGCTAATGAATACGTCGCGGATTAATACGGTGAAATCGTGAAATTTTCGACGGGCGTAATTGTCGGTCGACCGATATTTCGCGGGCACGCCAATGTGTTCTCACCGTCCCTCGATCGTGCCTTATCGGAGCGTCGCAACAGTGTGACGAGCAATGGATAAAAGTAAAAAAAAACAGATGTCTAAAATTTATAGTTCATTGTATCTTAAAATACTAATAAAGGAACGTAGATTAATAATACTACCCACAATTTTTACTGAATTTTCCAAATTATTGTCAAAATTAATACTTGATTACATATATCAGCCACACTCACGATATATCAGTGCACCGTACGAATTAAAAATGCACATTTTTAACTTGAAAGTATAGATTATCGAATATGAAAATGAGAGGTGAATGGTATACAATGTTATATGAAACATAAAAATGTTTTCATTAACATTTAAGTAACCGGTTACGTGTTTCCTCATTTTCACTTCCTATTGCGCGACATATTCGGTCGCTTAAGTGATAATAATGTTGCAAATCCAGAATCGGAGAATAGATTTGGATGGTTTGAAGTATAAAAATAGTTTGACTATCTCACAGGTACATTCGGTATGAAAAAACTAATGGTATTTAGCAATTGGAAAATGTAGGACGTGTATATTTCGAAGGGATATGTTTTTAATTAACGAAGTGGTAGTCATAGAATATATCTACGTTTGAAGTATTCGCATCCATATCTTTTCCCTTTTTAGAAAATATATGAGTGAACACAGAACACCGTTTGATCGTGAGTTTTGGGAGTCACTGTCAACAGATGTCTGATTATACGCTGTAACGTGAACCAAGAATTTATGACATATGAAGGATTTATTCAGAACCCAGAGTTATACGTAGGAAATGTTATTACGCTAAAAATTGGCCAGTACATTTACTAGCATCCTACAGATGTATAGTTCCTGTCACTCCAAATCAAATACAAACCTCTACTCTTATAATAAATACAACCCAAATAAGCATTTATAGTATTTCGCTGGTACTAATGCATTTAACATTAATTATTAGTCATCCTTTTTACTTGTTATATTATAATATATCAAGATTCGAAGCACAGTATGTAGTCCAATACAAACCACTGCTTTTATAATAAATACAACCAAATTAATCATTTATCGTATTATGGTGGAATTAGTGCATGCAACATGAATTATTAGCCATTTTTTTACTTGTTAAATGATAATATATCAAGATTTGAAGCGCAGTATGTATAATTGGTATTTGGCAATGCTCGTTCCGACAGACTCAATTTACCGATTTATCGACGTGGCTGCGATTTCTCCCAGATAAAAAACCTCAATTTTTACTTTTTAGAGACTCGAGATCGGTGAAAAATCGGTTCGTTCCAATACCTTCGAGCAACGTCCAACCGCTAAACTGGAGCACGTCGAGGAGTTGACGAAGGAGCCAAGGTAAGCTGCAAGTAATTGTATAACCGGCTTCCGAGAAGCGGAACGCGTGTATGTTGGGTATCGTCGATGTATGTATTTGTCGTTGCCGTTTGCCGATCGACTGAATATTCCAAGAGTGACGAGCCGATTCTACACGCGAACGTGGGTGGCTGGACAGTATATTGGGTTGTAAATTAGAATTCTAAACCTTTGAACGTGAAAAATAATGATACCTGAGGATTAATCCTCCAGAAAAATAGATATCAAATTTAAACTTTACTGGAATAAACGTATGAAATATGAACTTATAAAATATTGAGCACTATGACTGGACTACGGATGTCTATGCAAATATATGTAGATCTTTATGGACTTTACGGAATCTGTGAAATTGAAGAAGAATTTGTTCACGTTATTAATCATTTGCGCTCCAAGGTTCTTTTATTATAAATGAGTAATAACTACGAGAATGTTTGTACTAGCACATTTGAAATACATAAATGTTAATCTTTCAATAAAAATTAGTAAGTGGTTATAATTTAAAGTTGACTCGCTAATTTAATTTGTACTGTAATAAACATAACTCGTATATTAGGATGATATATGTTGCCATTGCAGAGCCAGTGGAGTGCAAAGGGTTAAATGTCTTGCAGGGTTCCAAGTAACAGTAGAACGCCGATTATTCGAATATCGATTATCGTAAGTAGCGATTATGGGAATGAATCACGAATGTTTTATGAAAGAATTAGTTTAAAAACATTAAGCCAAAGTACATTATGCAACTTTATTGACTTGGAATACATAAAGATGATCCAACGTATGGAACCGTATGCTATTGTTTGATCTATTCTGGTTGAAGGATATAATGTTCAAGCTGGAGAAAACGATCGTTAGTTGTCGTTCCAATATTTATTTGTGCTATTATGCAATCTTCCACGCAATAAACATTCATTTTTCAAAATTACTTTATTCCTAATCGTTTTATGACATGTATTAAACTTTGGTTCTCTTGGACCGATTACTACTAGTTATTAGAACTAGTCTTCTAGTTCGGATAATCGACGTTCCACTGTAAACTAAAAACCTCGTTAGTTTTTAATATACATTTTACAGCACCAAATTCCCAACAATCGTGCATATTGTAGACGTATAAATTCTGCAAGCCTAATTATGTACAATTTCAGTCAGAAACTATAATAGCCTCGAAGTCTGCATCATTAATGGAACTTTCTCTTACTTGTTTTCGTCACGCGATTTTAAATCAGAAATATCAGCAGGGGTGAGATTCATTAACAAGAGAACGCTGCTGTAAAAGTGGTCGCGTTGAAGTGAACACGTATTTCGATTCGCCTTTCTCAATCGAACGGCTACAATGTCCGTGACCGTCCCACGAAACAAAGGGACAAAGAGGAATCGTAGGAAAATAGAAAGGAGAGAAAAACTGGCCAAATAAGCCGTCAGAGGGCAACGTAACGAGGCATATAATAACCCACGGTGACATTCGAACAAACAGCCATCTGTAGGTAATACCCCTGCGGTGTGTAACGCCCCGAAAACTGCGCCCCGCCAAGAAATTACAATGACAATGAACGAAATCCGATCCGCCTGCGGGCATTCCACTCTAGTTTTATTTTTTTTTCTCTTTCTCTCTCCTCTCTTCTCTTCCTTCGCACCTCCCATGCCCTCGCGCGAAACGTATTTAGCTGCGTATCACGACCGGTACCTTTTCTGCCATTGTGTCGCCTATTCGGGGTAGCCAGGAATTACGAAGCGTCCATGGGGGTAGGCCCTCTTTTAAAGTATAGGATTTGATAAACACGTCTGACTAAATGTCACTATTTGGAAAAACTTGAAGCTTGCTCGTAGGGGTATTGGTATATTATAGTGTAAATCGGTTGTTAATACTGAGGATTAGATTACGAAATAGTAATTACTGAATTTGAACATTTTTGTCGCAATATGGTATCACTTGTCTTATGTATGATATTTCATTGCTGCAATCATTAAATGAAAAGGAAGTAACAAATATATCGTAGACATAAGGAGACAGTCCACGAGATCCATTTTTCCCCTAGCAATCTTGACCGTTAGAGCACCCGTTAAATGTGTACGACGCGACGAAGGCCAGAGATCCGCCGTCTTTTTACCTTTCCGCAGCGGTTAAAATTCATGCCCCGTTCACGGACGAGCAGCGCCGATACGACACAGAGGGAGATAAATTCTAATTAAGAGCGACAAGTTGCCGGCGCGGCTACTTTATATTTCCGGTCGCACAGTGGACGTTTTATATGCGCCAGGATTATGGCCGTTGGTGCGCACGCGTGTTTATTCCTTCTGGACACACCGTCTTTCGTGCTTTCGCGCGGCGTAAATCCGCCTGGGAGGGTATAAATTTCGATTCGAGTTACGAATCGAGGAAAACCGCCACCAATTGAGACACGCTCGTAATATGGCGGATGGTACACGCTATCCGCTGGAAAACAGGACGGAAATATAAACTAAGGGGTTTAAACAGCTGTTTCGGTGATGAGCAGTGATAATTGTTAGGACTGGATATTTCTTTATCTCGAAGTGGAAAATTTGATGAAGGTAAAGAGATATAGTCGCTGGAAACAGTATATCCGGACAGTTCACTGACTGTAGAGATACAGATACTTTTGAATCGTTCAACGATCAGATATCTAATAAAAATTCTATATGTAATAAATTAAATAAAAATTATAGAAATCGGTGTACAGTTATATTATATGTAAACAATTAAATACAAATTATATAAATCGGTGTACAGTTGCTTGGCCATGTTACCTAGTTGCTGGGATATAGCTCGATGACAACTATACTGCAGGGCGTAACTATAAAACCACCCTAAAATTTTCAATTCTTATGTATTGTGGTTAAAATAAAAACGAACCAAGTAATCGTTAGGAACCAAAGATCTTTGAAATCGTGTTGAGAAATCAAATTTCTGTAGCTAAGGATAAATTATATTCCCTAGAAAAAGTGGTTCGTTTTTATTTTAATCATAATACAGAAGGATTTAGAATTTTAGGGTGGTTTTATAGTTATACTCCGCAATGTATCTGTGTAAAGTGTTTCCAACGATTGTACCCTGGTCTGTATGCCATGTTAGATCGTTTTATAAATTTATGTCGATTTTTGAACTGATATTTAAATCAATACTTTTGAAGAGTTGTGAAGAAAATATAGAAATTATCGTATCTCAAGCAATTTTTTTGTTTTCTTGATAAGATTATGTATACTGTTATCGTAAAGTTCCAACTGTTCTTCAATGCAATATTATTCGGTGGTATTCTTATGGTGTCGATACAGTAATGGATATGCATATACAGTTAGTTACGAAAGAAGGTGTATATTGAACCATCGTACGATAGTCTGTTTTGTATAAAATATGTAGTTCAGATAACTTACTTTTTAGGAGAGGCAGGTCGTTCATGAAGCCTCCATCGTCTACGTTTGTGTTCTGAAACGAGAAAAGAGTGAGACGTTAATATAAATTTAGTTACACAAGGAAATAAAATATTGAAGTGTTTTTAGAATTGAGTAAAGAAAATAATAAAAGCATCCTATTCGTATACTGCAAAACAGTATCGTTAATATTTGAAGTAGTTCTTCTGCATTCCATACCTTTCTTTAATACTTCTAATTAAACTTTGTGTAATACAGAAAAGAATTAATTTATTAGCTATATACATTATTATTTTATTAACTTTTATATTTATTATCTATGTTCACAGCGATTTAATCCATTACTACTCATTGTTAATACAGAATACAGAAAACTGTATGAACGATAACTTTTAATTCCTTTGTATTTGTAATTTTCATATTACAAAAATATTACATTAAACCTCAATTAAATACGCAAATACGCTTCTCTTACATTTTAAAAAAAGTATTATTTCTTGGATAACCTGACGTAATCGAATTTCCTCGTAGACATTTCTGTAATGCCAGAGTAGCATTTTCCCGGGCGATGCGACTCGATTAAAGCGGCGGTAGAATGGTAATAGAGAAAATGCTTTGCGATTACGTACATCGTCGCTCACCTGGGGGTCGTCCACGAGGCTGCTGTGGAGAACGAGGTCGGTCTGGTCGAGGCCTGGGGGTGGTAGGAGGGCATCGGGGCGGCGAACGGCGCCATATTCAACGCCCCTTCCGCCACCGCCCCCGCCGCCACCGCCACCGCCACCGCCTCCGCCGCTACTGCGTCCACCGTCGTATGGAAACGACGTGTGCATATTCGCCTGAAATTCAGAAACAAAGTATATTATTACTTCCTTTGTTCCGACGAAATGTGAAGATACATCGAATTATTTACTGAACATCATACTACTAAAAGAAATTGTCATCACGGGCCATTTAACACTAGAACTGCCAGCATTGAATAATATATAGAATATGTAAGACAATCTAGCATAATATACTATAAAATAAAATCTCTAGTAAATTAAAAGCCAACAGAAATTCCGTCGAAGGCACCGTTATAATTCCAGTAGTGGCAAAATAGTAAATCTGTTATTTTGACGGATTTGGTAGTTTTAGTGTTAAAGCCGATACGGTATTTAATAATCAACTTTTGAACGGAGAATGTTGAGGCAGTCAAGATCTAGTCTTAATGTCTTTTATTTGAATCTATAGTCGAACTATTAAAATTATATCCATTCCCTTTATTTTAGTATTTATTATAGAGATAATGGTGAACGTCGCTTTTATCCGTCGCAAATTTTGTGGGTATGACTTGGTACTGAAACTAGTATTATACAATTAATATTTTTTAGAAAACAAATTTTTCAAGGCTGAAGCCTGTTCTAGTCGTCTAAACGGTAATGTATATCCTTAATCAGATGCAGGAGAATGATTTCATATCCTAGGATTGGCCAGTTGTATTCTCATCAATTGTCTGACTAAATTTAAATATATTTTATTAAATGTTACTGTGCAGCAGAAGGATTTCAGTATTTAATTTAGTACATATAATATGTGCATATTAAAGTAAGTAACATTGTTCTGACACTTTATAACCATATCGACAATTTTTAACGTGTCTGACCAAACACCTTTATATTCTACTAACTACAACGGTGAAAACGCGTTTCACAAATCGGTTGATCTTTCTCTTTCTATAATTAATAATATATACATTTATTTTAACTAGACATATTCACAATACACATTCTGACACAGACATGTCCAAATGTCTGACCACATACCAATGAATTCTACTATTAGTACCGATAAGAACTTTTGTCGTCATTCCATGACCAAGAATAGAATCTACAAAATCATACGATAAGACCCTGACACTAAATTTCAGGAACATCAATACATGGCATAGAAAAAACTTATTACTAGACTGCGAATTATTATGCAAAATGAAGTTTTTTAAAGTATTTCATACGGGCAAAAGCAAAGATATGAATTTTATTTCCCTCTTAAGTATCATACTGGGTTCAAAATAACATAGAAAATTTGTTGTATCTGACAATAGTTTTTCTTTTACTTTTTAATATAACATCCGTAGTCCACGTATTACTGAAGCAACAACCGTGCAAATACGCGTGAAATATACTTCCACTTGGTTTAATTGTATGATCCGCAAGAATACGATATTGTAGCGTTCGCTGAATTCCAAGGGAAGGAATCACTGAATAGAAGCGTTTGCTGAAGTAATAAGAAGTAATCACGGTAAATTATTTCCTAAGAAGGTTCGACTTGCAGTTACAAAGTTACAGACACGAGAAGACCTCTTCGTGTAGTCAATCTTACTCGTATCGAGGTTCTAGAAATTCTTACTGGTGCGTCGGGAACCAGGTTCGACGCCTTTACACGTCAAGCCCAATGTGAACACGAAGGCACACGTTAATTCCACGAAGAATCCACGGCATTTGATAGGTGGTAAATAGGCAAAGGTTGCAGGTCAGATCCGCGGTTGAAGGCTGTTGTCGAATACACGAGGAAAATCTTCTTCGATCATCAGCTTAACGGGGCCTCCGACGTTCGTAACGATCGGTATATCTATCACATCAAGAACCGTCGTCGGTTTTTCTACAAAACTTTTCAACCGTTCCGAACGCTACCTTATTCAACCGAAGAATTTAATTATCCTACAAAGATGAACTGCATCATTGTATACGTGTACCGTTGTTCGAATACTTTTAACTGTAATTCAAGCTGAAAGTCGTTGTAAGTCAATTCTGCAATTACAATTTGTCCTTTTTGTAAATCCATAAAAAGCAATCGATTTATCATTTTAATCCTTGCGCACCGTTCAAGTAATTATCACACGGATGGCTTATCGGGGATCATTAAGCTAAATAATTGAAATTAAAATCGAACGCTGGAAACGTATTACTTCATATCCGCATAATAACATGCAAAAAACGGTGATTAATGAAGCGTATACAAAAAACCATTAAAAAAATGTGCGTTTCATTTCGGATCGGATCGACCCTGAACAGTTAAACACAAAGGTTAAATACAGCGGTCGTGCACGTGTCTCTCGATTGAAATACATTCAACACGAAACTGTACGGACGATTGAACGATTCGTTTGATTTTGAATCTCTTATTTGAATTTCATTTTTCGAGAACCAGTTTCACCGCGTCGTTAAGGTTTGAACGTTGTGAAAACAAAAAACGTTATAGACAGAAGAAAACAGAATCCTACTGAAAGTCTCGGATTGAAAGGAGACCCAGTTCTCACGTGAACGACGATGACTCGATGACTCGACGATAGCTCGCGAATCGTAGATACAATCGACGGTGGAGGCACGTAATGCAATAATACCACCAGTCAGGGATAGAAGAATGGAAGATTTTACCATCTCTCCAAGATTCTCGGGGATTCATAAAAGCTCTTAAATACATTACGACCAAGCGAACCATATACGGACCCCGAAACGATTACCCCCGTGATTAACCATAAATATGTCCGATGACATTAGGATTAATTTCGTCGAGGTATATATAAATAAATGCAAAGACGATAATGAAAGCCACGGTTTCGAGATACACAGGCGAACGGCGGAAGTTCATCGTAAGAGATAAATACCGATTGAATGCACTCGGTAAATCCGGTATCGACGGTGATTACGTAAATCATTGTGCGTGCGTCGCACGGGGAAGTATATTCATTCACGATCCACGTGAAAAATTGATTTTACGATTCGTACGGCTGATCCGTGTGTGCCGTTAATGGAACGGCCACGCTGTAAACGGTCGGGCACGTTGTTCATAAATATTTGATTATTAACAGAGATCAGGTTTATTACTGTTCCGCGGTAAGTAGCTATATCGTGGCTGTATAAATTATGTTAATCGGTATACTACTGGGACGCGAAACGGGTAAAGACAATATTTTTACGACGATGCAATTTATTATAATATCGCTGTTGTAACGTAGCGAGTATTTGTACTGTTATAATAAAATTAATGTGAGTATAAGTGCATGTTGTATACAATTACCGATTGTTATAGGTTGAAACAGGAACATTGTGTTTTCGAAAAAAATATGTTTTATCGAATCGAAATATGCAGCATCATTGATGGTGAGCATACAATGTACATAGGGGAAGGTTGTTTTGACTTGGTTATTTTCCGATTACTGAAATTATAATAGTCTTCTTGGCGGAAATTACATTTACTTTTAATTTACTATATATTTTATGTTGTATTATATGTTATGTATATTACTATATTATACAATTTAATTCAGTATACCTATATTCAGTACTGGTGGTTCTAGTGTTAACGCATATAGGGGAAGGTTGCCAAATTTGGATCATTGCCTAGGTTGGACCACTACTATAACTTGTTATCTATAAACAATTTACGTCATGTGATATACAATATGTATTGCTTATATACTAAGTTAGTTAACGGCATCACCACTCTCATACATGTATTGCCTATCAAATTAAAAGCAATTGTAATTTTCGCCAAGAGCACTATTATAATTACAGTAATCGTAAAATAAGAAATCTGCAATCCGTCATTTTGACGGGTTTGACAGTTCCAGTGTTAGTAGGTTTCTTCCAGTCAGATAATAATTGATACATTTGATTTTTCAAAAAATTTGATCGAATTCCTCACATTCTGTAATTACCATTTCTCCATCAGAAAACGTTTCATTTCTTGGATATAGCCACAAATTTCAGAAAAGGTAAATGGTCTGTTGGGGAACAAGCTGCTGAATATCAACGTATGTAACAAAATTTCAAAATGTAAATTATTTCCAGAGAATATTCCCAATGAAACGAGCAAGTTTTTTTTCTCAAAGTATTCATAGGAATTCAAGATCGATCATCGTGGTATTACTAATTATAAACCGCGGGGACATAAGATTTTATCTTCGTCGAATTACCCCATTGTGTGAAAGTTCTCCATTATTTTTACGCCATCGCTGACCGATCTTCAGATTTCAATTCAAGAAAACGTCTCATAAAATGCTATTGCCACCGCCGTTAGGGCAATAAGAAATGCTCACGAGGCCCGCAAAACCTCGTAACGAGCGCAATAAAATTTACGGAATTATACTTGGAATTAATGTAATCGGTTATTAATCGTTCACGACGCGAGCGTTTCCTTTTAATGAACGATACACGATTATCACGGGGATTTATAGACAGCCAGAGCGTGGCCGTTGCCGATCTTATGTAAGAGATTTTCTATCCGTGGCGCTCGTCGAATAGAAAAAGATGCCAAGACAGATTTCTGGGAATTGAAACACAAAGTAGACATACATACGTTTGGAATCTTAATCACCGTCCACCGGAGGAAAAACCGGAGATTTTATCCAGACTGCGGGTCTGGTTGTGCCACAAATACGGTTATATTACAGCTCCTCGCCATTATTGTCATATATCTTTACTATGCGATCCACGAGGTTCCGTCGCGACGAGAAGAAATCTCAGTGTGCACGTTTCACCGATTTTCTTGCCAGATTGTTGCCGTCCTATTGTAATCGTTTTCTCCGTTACGAGTATTCTAGATTGCCGTGATATGTTTCCACGAAGGTAACCACGAAAATATCGAAAATAAAACTCCGTACCGTGAATTGCTTCGTTCACTTTCCGTACCGAGAGTGTGGGAAACGATCTAGAAAGAGTTGAGTACAGGAATGACGTAGGAATTGTGTTATCTTGGTTTTACCAGATTGTGATTTCTTATGTAGATTTAAATACTTTTGGGTTATTTTATAAAAGCAGCATTAAATGCAAATGTTTCCTTTTTTTGTGGTTATCCA